CAGTACAGAGATCACAAAGAGTATAAGAATCCTTCTTATGTGTACTAGGAAGCCCTAGGTTGCTACACAGGCTGGGAGATATTTATCCCCACAGAAATCCTCCCACATGACCAGTGGCACCAGAGCTATTGTAGGAAGAAGGAAGGATGATGATAGATGAGCCTGTACATTGAGTGGGATAAAACTATGAAAAGTTCTAAATGCCAACTTAAGATGTTGGGACAATAGGAAGACCTTACATGTGATTTATTAACGGGAACTTAAAGATCAGGTTGGACTTTCCAAACTTTTTTTTCTATCAGTGTTGTGAAAGAACAAAGCTAGTCTAAGTGGATAGCATGGGTACAAGCTCAAACCCTACTATGATATTCCCAGAAAACAGACAGGGAGGGCATGCTTAGGACTGGGCAAGTAAGGCTGAACGTAGGGGAAATATTTGAGCTGTTTAGAGTTAGGGACTTTAGGAGGTGAGTACAGGGAATAAGGGATAGACTTTGAGAAATCTGAAAAATGTCAAATGTTTTAGCTCATTCAGCTGAAGGGTCATAGAACTAGAAAAGTGAACAGAGTGAAGAAAGATCAAGTGAAGGAAAGATCAAGGCTGACGATAATGACTGTAGAAAGTATGGCATTTGTATTGACTTTCATACAACTGGTAAAGATAATTAAGATACCGTGGCTGGGCACCTATAATTCTAGCACTCTGGGAGGCCAAGATGGGCAGATTGCTTAAGCTCAGGAATCTGAGACCATCCTGAGCAAGAACTAGAGACCATCTCTACAAAAAACAGAAAAAAACTAGCTGGGCGTTGTGGTGGGTACCTACAGTCCCAGCTACTCAGAAGGCCAAAGCAAGAGGATTGCTCAAGGCCAAGAGTATGAGGTTGCCGTGATCTATGAAGTGCCATGGAACTCTACCCAGGGTAACAGAGTGAGACTCTGTCTCAAATATAATATAATAAATATAATTAAGATAAGCCTATTGCTAATGCTGTATCAGGATTTGGAAAAACAAAACCAAAGATGAAGGTGGAGTAGCTCTAGAGTATTCCCACAGTTAATAGTGATGATTCAGTCAGCAAGAACTGATGAGCTCATTGAGGGGAGAGGAGAGAAATAGAAGAGGCCTAACATAGGATGTAGTGATGGAACAGTATCTGAAGGAAGAGAGCCAGCCAAGGGCATGGGAGGGAAGAGAACAACCAGGGAACATGGTAGAACACAAGGAAGGGAACAAAATGCTTCCGTGAGTCAAAGAAGATCCAGGCTAAGAATCAGTTGCCATAAAGTAACAATTAGGGGGTCTCTACAAAGATTTGAAAGAAAGGATTCAATAAAGAAAACTACTGAAGAAAGGCATGAACTTATATATTTAAGTAGTGAGTCAATAGTGAAGAACTTGAGCTCTCAAGTCTACATTAGGCATGAAAAGATTTTTTGGTAAAGGAAAGGAAAGAGATCGCATAATTGCTTGACATAGAGTCAAGGGAAGGGACCTGTGGAAGCTGGTAGGAAGCAGGGCAGGAGCCTGTGGTGGAGAGGAGACTGAGGGACAGATGTGAAGGGAAAATACTTGATGACAAACACTGTGGGGTGGAATCCAGCAAACACCGAGGGGGGCTGTGATTTTGAAATGAAAACAAGGTTAGGAGAACTTGGGTCAAATGGATTTGGGTAAAGTAGGAGAAGCAAGCAGATGTTGTCAGAGTGAAACGGAAACAGAGTGAGACTGAGGCTTAAGCTTAGGAGAAAAGATATGGAACAATTTAAATTGAGTTTAAAAAAATATTTTTAAAACAGATTTGGAAACTAATAAGGCTCAAATGGTGTGAACTGTCAATCACATTCCATGTTTTTTCATAACATCAGGCCACCCAAGTGATTCAGGTTGACAGATTGAGAACACATGGTAAGGTGGCTACATGATCATCCTTGGCACCCACAGCTGGCCATTGGGAGCAGTGCAGACACAGAGCAGTGGGAGACTCTGCAGGGGTGAATGAACGAATGAGATGTAGAGGAATGAGAGCCATGGAAGTTTAGGAGGAAGAGGTCAGCATGAAACTGAGAAACTGAGGCCACGAGGCAGAATAATTCTGGCTGATGTTGAAACCTGAATATTGGCCACAAAAGTCAGTTTCTAGTGTGGACTCATGAGACGGTTCATTAACACTGAGAGGATTAAGGAGCCA